TATATATATATATGTATACATAGGAAGTTTAATTACTCAGTGTGGTAGAGCTTTGAACCTGCATATAAATCTTCATTAGATTAAAGGATGAGGTATAATTCTAAGTTTTCAAGTCTCAAAAGAAAAAAAAAAAACCCTAAAAAAAAAAGTCTTAAAAATAGATAGAAAAAGTATAAAAAGTCTTAAAAATATATAGAAAAACTATAAAATCTTTGTTGTTTTCATTTTTAAGACCGGCAGACAGATGGTATATACCTGAAATTTTTCATACTGAATGAGAACACTTTTAGCGGGGGATTAGGGGCATCCTCCCCACCATTTTTTATCATTAACTTATAATATCTGGAATTAATCTGAACGTAATTGTATGACTCTTCCTTTATATCTTTAAGAACTTTTACATATTTTTTTGCAAGCCTTTTTAAATGAAACATTTTTTCCCCATATATTTCACCTTTTTTTATTTGCATAGGAGATTAAATCCAAGGTGATGAGAACTACGAGTACAGTACCACCACTTTGTGCTGATGTGGGTTCAATAAGTAGAGTACAGGGGTCTTTGTTTTACTATTTATTACGCTTCACCCAACCATTCATGTCTTGTGTTCCCATTCTGATGAATGGTCTATTTTCTTGTGATGTTGACCCCAAAAGAGGCCACACCTTTTCTCTTGTCTCAGTCTCCTCCCTTAGTCATGTGATAAGAATTTTAAGTTTAACTCCGACTAGTTGCTGTAGGGCCCACCTTCAGGAGGCCATGGCCGTACACCTAAGCCCTTATGTTAGTTTCAGACTATCTCTTCACGGACTGCCCAACTCACAATAAATGCCCCAATGGTTAAAATCAAAATTCAAAATTGTAGAACACCAGCTTTTGTGGTGGAAATTCTCCTGCGAAGTTTTGTTCTGCATCTATGATGAATACACAAATTAGGCACTAAATAATGTAGGAGACATGGAAAATGAAAAGCAATAGACAATACGATGCTCTACTACCATTACCATCCATTGTGCACATAATCAGGATATACTCTTCTCAATTGGATTTTGATTGATTAGAACCTCATTAAATTGACTTCCATGGAATATCATGGGCAATGTGGTCCGTCGACAGTGAAATATCATACAATCCTAGGTTTCCCACATCCAATCATATGATAAAAATGCCCCAGTTTGCAGAAAGAGCTTCAACAATTCTACACTGGAACAATGAAAGATCAGTAACAGCTTTCCTAGTAATGTGAAAGTTTAACTTACTTATCAATCAGTGGAACAAGATGGTGAATATGAAATTAATGTACTCATCTCCTGGAAACGTCAATTGCCAGAGACGCTCCACGTGTCCCCAACTGTAACGTTCTAAAGAATGGAACTTAATTTACAAGGTCCGTGCTAAACGATGTTCACAATTTTCTAAGACAGTTTTAATCGCATGAGGTGACGGAAAGTCCTACACGGAGATCATTTGACGTTCCACATATATACATTCTGTGTGTTTCTATTTCCTGTTGATAACCCTCGGGAGTACTGGCTGCGTAGTGATTGCCGCTGACGCTATCACGCAAGGAGAAGACAATCTCCCTGAGAATCGGTTCGTGGCCATTAAGAAGATTACCCATGCTTAAAACTTTCCTCCATGATTGGTTAGCAGTAGGTGGTCTAAACATATTTGACACTACCTGTCTCTCGTTCATTCTCAGTTGCTGCTTTGTGCCAAACTCCTATAAACATAGACAAAATTGGCATGGCAATTTAGTCAAATAGGAAACCACGAGGATGGAGGATGGTCCCACACTTAACATGATTAATTTTCTTCAGTGGTAACAGTGAGGTGTCATGAAATGGGGGCATATTACCTTTTCATTATCTATGTCCACTGAGCCCATTCCCATTGCTGGAAGGTAAAAATCGTGGTAGTCACTGAAAAATGCTTCAGAGAGGCGAGGGGCATTTAAGAATTTACGATGGAGAGAAGCTGCAAGAGTTAATAACTTCTCAACATGTTCAAAGACTACACATAGCCTTCTTAGATCTTCAAAAACCTCACTGTTGCCTTGAAATTGATTTGCTACACCAAATATGAGCTAAAAGTATCAATAACCTTACTTTCATAAAATGCACAAATACTTTAAATGATGACCAAAAAGGGAGACAAACTATACATACCTCGCAAAGGTGATAATGTAGACGCTATAGTACGGTAAAGTTGCTCTATTTTTGTGTTCATCTGCTTCAAGCCCCCATAGTTAGTCTGGTTTAGACTGTTGGCTGCTGCTCTGAAGGCAGTACAAACCATTTGCTCAAGCAGCTGATGTGGTCGCAATGTTTCAAGGTAATGAAGGACCTGCAAAGGTAAAGGTTCCACAACTTGTCAGGTTTAATGCATCAAAGCAGAGATAAGTAAAAAGAAGGCATTCGAGGAATACATAGCACAAATAAACATTTCAGTAAAGTATAAAAAGTGCTACTGCTTTTTTGCATTATTTTTTCTTCATTGACACAATCATTTGCATAGAAAACGTCAAATTGGAGCATGTCCAATTAAGTTAGAAAAGGAACAAATAAGACTTGTTACAGAGAGAATTACCTCTAAAGCTACAAGATCTAAGTGAAGGATTACTTTATCATTAGTATCTTCAGCCTCAGAATTCAGCAACAAAGAAATAAGGGAAAAGGATGGAAGATAATAGCATCATAAGCAGAAATTAACATGAGATTGTTCAAACCGACCTTCTCCCCTTCTCGATTTGGATCCAGTACGGGCTTCTGCTCATAAACCGGCAAAGCAGGTGCATCATTCCAAATCTTTCGCCACAAGTTTCCACGATCAGACATTCGTAGCGAAAGTTGTCCTCGAGGAGGCCAGTCTTCCTTTATACCCTCCACATTAAGATTTCTGGATGAACTACTTCCTTCAGTTTCATCATTCTCCCAATCTCCAGGAGAATGCCAGCGGATAAAATCTTCAAAAACGGCATCTGGGTTGGCTGCTTTAAATGCTGACATGTCTATTTCAAAATTTGAAATATCAGACAGGATATACATATATACACCCTACAATATTATAATAAGAAAAGAAAATGAGAAACTGTTTAAAACCATAAGCATCTATCAAATGGGACCAAAATGGTGAAATCTGTGGCAAGAAAGCAAACAGAAATTGCAGATGCAAATAAGGCTCTTAAGTGGCCAACAAGTTTGCCTCATTTGGAAGGGTAAATTTGAGAAGAGCCTGTCTTATTTGCACCCATAGAGAGTGCCTTATACTTAGAACAAACTAACAACCCTTTCTTTCTTCCACTGTTCTACAGAAACCAAATGTGGCTTGGTATCTGAAGTGGAACTTGATATACCATAAGCACACTCAAATGAATTGTTTTCTTACTTCTCTTTCCAAATCAAAAGCATCATTTTCTCTAAATGGCACAAAGAAACAACTGGTGAAGAATATCATCTAACTTAACTTATTACCTGAGGATAAGACCTCTCTCTCCAACTGAGCAGAAAAGCTCTGCAATGAAATAATAAACAATTTCCTCAGTCAATGACAACAAAATTGTTTACAAAAAATGCTTCTTCAGAATACATTCATAAGGATGGTAAGAAGAAAAGAGAAAGAGAGAGAGAGAGAAAATAAATTCATATGCCTAGGTTGAGGAACAAAAAACTAATATTTTGACATTCAGTAAAATATAAATTGTTAATGAGAACTCCAGCTTACAAACGAATCACTGGATGCTTCAACTGCCTGTAGTCGTTCTTCATGCATGTCTTCTGTCATAAGTGGTGCATCCTGTGACCATTGAAAGAAGGAAATAATTGTTATTTTCAACATTTTAGT